AAAAAAAAAAAAAAGGATGTGAAATTAAAATGCCTGTGCGATTTTAGAGTGTGAATTTGGCTTAAACAACAAAAAAATAAAAAAATAAAGAAAAATATGTACCTTAATCTTCTTCAATAGTGAAAAATTAGGGCTCCGCGATTTTTGGGTGTCAATTTGGGGAAGAGAACCTGAAATTAAATGGTTGATTTTAAGGGTAAAAAAGTAATTCCGCAGCTTTTGGGATGAAAAAATGAAGAAAAAGTCGCACAGCACGCGCGTGCACGCCACTTCCGTCATCTTAGACGGTTTATGGGATTTCGCGCATGAAGTACAATAGAAGGGGGTTTGACGTATTTTTTTAAAATAGAGGGGGATAACGCGCAAATTTAGTATATTACATGGGGGTTTGGTGCATTTTACCCATTCAAAAAATTTACTATTTTATAGTCCGAGTTAAAATCAACTAATACGTAGCCCGCGCGATGCACGGGACAGAGACATTAAGTAAGTCATTTACATAGTGTTTGTTTGTTTAAGTTTAATATAAATTGATTTTAGTATTTATATTTATTCTTTCATATAAGAAAAATAAAAATTTTTACTTATTCTTGATACCCAAACCATCAGCACCCAAAACTTCAGCAGCACAAAGTCTTGCACAAAGCAAACCCTGGAATATTCACGAAAGAACACACGAAAGTACACTCTGTATTTTCTCATCCTCCCTGCTTTCTTTTCTTGTTTTTGCAAGTACAAACACTTATTTAATATTTTTTTTCTTACACTCACATCACACACACTACTCGTGTTTTTCACTATTACTCACACAGCACACATGTACATTCACAAAGCATGCACAACGCACTCACATCTCACACAAGCACTACACTCGGTTTTATTTTCTCACCCACATAAAGCGCACACAAAGCACAATTTATTTATTTTTTCACCCCTTTCACACATACTGCACATACTTTTCTTCATTCATAGCATCAGAGCCCATTTTCTAAAAACTTCAGCTCCCCGCATGTAATATTCAAAAAGTTGATAAATAGGAGGAAAAACATGAGAAAATCAATCAAGCCGATTTCGTGGGTTTTTGAATTTGAAAAACACTTATCTCACCTAAGGAGGAGTGTTTAATCTGTTAGTTATGAATATATTCAAGATCGGTTTTAAAAATATGTATGAAAATCCCAAAGTAGCATGACATCATTCTTATGAGTGAGATTTAAAAATAAAACAGATTGGAAATAAATCATGTTCATAAAAAGCCTTAACATGAGTGTTGATCGGTCGGCGGCTCAATGGATCAAGATTTCGCCTTTCACATTCTTACCCGTCCCCAAGTCAGCTATGAATCAATATGTCAATGGAACAACCAAACTCTTGCATCTAACCACACAAGAATTATGAAAAATATTGGAGTCGAGAAAATAATTATATAACATGCTATGAAAATAAAAGATTCAATACTCGTCACCTAAATTAATTTCCATGAAATGATAAAGTCGAAGAATTCTTTTCAATGAAACTTCAGAAAGGATGAAAGATAAACGTAACATATTTGAATACAATTTCAAATGATTAATGATGTTGATCGTATATATATTGACGATCTATTTACATACCGGCCGCTCAGACGCGTCGAGCCATTTCAACAAAATGTAAACAAAGACTTTCCCAGCCCCAACAATTTATTTCCGGAAGGCGGCGCTTGACACGGCTCAACAACCCAATTTTACTAAGAAAATCACCAAACCAAAACGACAAACCCCAAAAAAAAAGCAAAACAGAAATCTCCTAAAAACAGAAAAAAATACATGAAATTGGCAAACGGCTGTCCCCCAACATCGTCGTCTCCCTGCAGCCGAATCTGCCATTTCCACGAAGATCTGAACAAAAAAATCTCAAGATCTGAACTCGAAGTGTAGCAAAAACCCAGGGCTTCCACAACTGACGGAGCCGAATTCTCCGTCACAGAACCGCATATCCCGGTGTCGGTCTTTAGGGACACGTTGAACGGGCGGCAGGATTCGTCGGCATGTAGTTAAACATAAGCAACGGGCCAGAACTGAGCCCGACCCCGAAGCTGATGGAGAGCTCGTGACGATCGCCGCCGATGATCTCGATGGAGAAGAAGAGGGATTTTAGATTAATTGAGGTTTCGGGTTCTTTAATTATGTGAGATTTTCTCTCAAGCTAATCGAGATCATCGGAGGAGAAGGGGATTTTGGACGAAATGGGGTTTCAGTTCTTTCATGATATGGAATTTTTTCTCAAGCTAATTGAAGCGAAAT